ATTTTGAGAAAACTAATAAAATAAATGAGCCATAAATTTGACTAAAAAGAAAAAGATGGTGGAGTTTGCAGTCCCTCTCCCATTTTCATCCCTGAACAACCAAAAAACAGTGCCCTAGAACCTATCCTGGAATAGTGGAGCTAGTGGAAAGATGGGGTGGACCAGTCTTTTGATCCAGGAGACTTATAGGATCAACAAATAAGATCCATATCACTCAGGTAAAAGAGGAGCACAGTCCCGGATAGAAAACATCCCAGCAAGCTGGAGGCAAGCTCCACCTCAAAAAACCAGTGGGAGGTCCTGAGCCCCAGAGCAGTGGAGCAGGCAGATGCTAACACCAGGACCCCCCTACATTCTTTAGCAGAGCTGGGAAATTGGCAGGCTCCAGGTTGGAGAACCACCATGTGCGCCGGCCAGGCGGGTGTCCTCTAGCAGCTGAACCTTGCCTGCTTTAGCACAGCCCCAGGGAAATACAGAAAAATGCCACCTGGCCTCAGCAGACACCAGACACCACTACTAGGACCCCAGCTCAGCACCAGGTAAGCTGCCAGACCCCTATAGCCTCCAGCAGCAGGTCCCTGGGGCCCCAGGGCACAAAGCTAATGACCAGGCCTCTGAACCTGAGCAAAAGAAGCTTGGGCAGTGCCCCCTGTGCTCCAGCAGGAGAGCTCAACTTTAAAAGCCATGAAATAGGCAAACAAAATGAGCAAAGAGCAAAAAAGAACACTGACCATAGAGAATTATTATGGTGATAGGGAAGATCAAAACGCAAACTCAGAAGAGGACAGCATTGTCGATATACCCAAATCCAAAACCTCAAAGGGGAATATGAACTGGCCTCAAGGCCAAAAAGACTTCTTGGAAGAGGTCAAGAAGGATTTTAAAAGTCATATAGGAGAGGTGGTTGAAAAATTGGGAAAAGAAATAAGAGGTATGCAAGAGAGAGTCAACAACTTCGAAAAGGAAGGACAAAAATTGAATTGTAGATGGGCCATAAAACCCAGGCAGCTCCTTCAATGTCAGAACCACTGGGCATTATTTTTCATGAGGGTTAGTTAGTCTCACTAGAGAGAACCTTTACTTTGGGATATAAACATTTGGGACAACTATGCTATAGTAAAAATTCCCAATTCAGATGCCTGACTCAACAGTTATCCTAGAAGGCCCTTCTAAAGGAAGGGGGCCTTGCAGCCCTAAGCTTCCATCAGAGACTGCAGGGATGAGATGTCAGTATTCCAGCATAGTTCTCGACCCACCAAGTGGTTATGACTTCCTCACTCAAAAGTCAGCAGGTCTCAAGTGGATGCTTCTGCTTTCTCATGCCTATATATCCATCCTAGCAAAATTCAGTGGGCAGTGCCACATCTGCCCAGCCACAGGCCAAGGGATTCTTTCCAGCCTTTACACATTTTTGTTGTTTTTGGCCTTTCATGAGCCCATTTGGGGTTTTCTTGGCAAAGATGCTGGAGTGGTTTGCCATTTCTTTCTCCCTAGCCCATTTTACAGATGAGGAAATTAAGGCAGGGTTAAGTGACTTGCCCAGAGTCGTATAGCTAGTGGGTGTCTGAGGCTAAATTTGAACACAGGTCTTCCTGACTCCAAGCCCAGTGCTCTATCCACTGCACCACCTAGCTGCCCTCTTTACGCATAGTGACAGCTGACTTTCAGTGGCCATAACTGTGGTGTGACATCACAAGTACACAGGCCATTAAGTCAGTGGTTTGGCTGCTAGCAGGCTTGTAGCAATACCTACAATCTAGTCTCCAGTCCTTGGAAATAGCAAAGTTAGATTTCATCATAGATGTGCCAGGAGTATGCTGGTAAATATTTAACAATCAGCTTTTTGGGGGGTGGGGTGGGGGGAAATGTATGCACAACTCATTTTTAGGTTTAATCTGCATTATTAGCATTTTCTCTATCACTTTAAGTCTAGACAACAAAACAATAAATCAAGCCCTGATTTGTAACATTTGCCAATAAAAAAAAATCGTATGTAGAAAACAATTCTTTAAAAAATATGATTGGCCAAATGGAAAAAAAAAATCCACTGAAGGAAGTAGAATTGGCCAAAAGGAAAAGGAGGTACAAAAGCTAACTGAAGAAAACAATTCATTAAAAACTAGAATTGGGCAAGTGGAAGCTAATGACTCCAAGGCATCAAGAATCAAACAAAATCAAAGAATGAAAAACTAGAAGAAAATGTAAAATACCTCATTGGAAAAACAACTGACCTGGAAAGATCCAGAAAAGATAATTTAAGAATTATTGGTCTACCTGAAAGCCGTGATCGAAAAAAGAGTCTGGAGAGCATCTTTCAAGAAATTATCAAAGAGAACTGTTCTAAAATCTGGAAACCAGAGGGTAAAATAGTCATTGAAAGAATCCACCAATTACCTCCTGAAAGAGACCCCAAAAAGAAAACTCCAGAGAATATCATAGCCAAATTCCAGAATTATCAGATCAAGGGGAAAATACTGCAAGCAGCCAGAAAGAAAGAATTTAAATATTGAACCAGAGTCAAGATAACTAACGCAGGACTTGTCAGCTTCTACATTAAAGGATTGCAGGGCCTGGAATATGATATTCCATAAGGCAGAGGAGCTTGGATTACAACCAAGAATCAACTATCCAACAAAGGTCAGTATAATCTTTCAGGAGAAAAGGTGGATGTTCAGTAATATAGGGGATTTTCAATCATTCCTGGTTAAAAAAACAAAACAAAACAGAAAATTTGATTTTCAAATACAAGGCTCAGGAGAAGCGTAAAAAGAAATGGTAAGCAGATGGACTTCAGAAAAACCTGGAAAGACTTCATGAACTGATGCTGCATGAAGTGAGCAGAACCAGGAGAATACTGTACACAGAAACGGCAACATGGTGCAATGACCTACTTTGTTACACTTAGCTTTTCTGAGCAAGGCAGTGAGCTAAGACAGTTTCAAAAGACTCATGATGGACAATGCTGTCCACATGCAGAGAAAGAACTATGGAGTCTGAGTGCATATGGAAGCATACTATTTTCTCTTTTATTTTTTGTTTTTTCTTACTCATGGTTTTTCCCTTTTGTTCTGATTCTTTCACAACATGACTAATGTGGAAGTATGTTTAATATGATCATACGTGTATAGCTTATAGCAGATTGCATGCTGTCTTAGGGAGGGATGAAATTTAGAATTCAAAATCTTATAAAAGCAAATGATAATTTGAGAAATATAAATTGCTTCCGGGGAGGTTGAGCCAATATAATGAAAGGGGCAATACTACTCAATTAATTTGTTCCCTCTCATCCTAACATCTTGACTCTATGCTTATTTAATTCTAATCTCCAAACCCTTCCCCCTACCAAAATTCTTTTGGGGTCCTTGTTGGGGTGGGGGGGAAGAGTAAATTGCAGGATTATAGAATTTGAATTGGAAGGGACCCTAAAATTAAATCGATGCTGTACAAAGGACCAGAGCTAGGAAAAATAATAAAATTCGTCTGGAGGAAGAAAATAATCAAGATTATAGAGTCATAATTTTCAAAACAGTTTGGTGCTGGGTAAATAATAGAGCTGATCAGTAGAATAGATTTTGTGCATGTTATACAGAAGCAAATGAGCACAGGAATCTAATGTTTGATAAACTCAAAGATCCCAGCTATTGGGGTAAAAACTCAGTATTTGACAAAAACTATTAAGAAAACTGGAAAGTAATCTTCCAGAAACTTGTCTGACGTAAACCAACATCTCACATCACATACTAAGATAAGCTCCAAATGGATACATGATTTAGACATAAAGAGTGATATTATAAGCAAATTACAGTAGCATGTAAGAAATTACTTATCAAATTTTTGAATAGGGAAAGAGTTCATGGCCAAATGAGATGGTAAGTTTCACAGAAAATTAAAATGGACAGTTTTGATTACGTGATATTAATTTTTTTTTTTTGCATGGAACAACCTATGCAGCTAAAAATGCAGGAAATCTTTGCATTAGGCTTCTTTGATAAAGTTTCATTTCTAAGATATACAGAGAACTGAGTCAGATTACAATAGTCATTCTCCAATCAACAAATGGGCAAAGGATTTGAATATGTAGTTTTCAGAGGACGAAATCCAAGCAATTGATAGCCATGTGAAAAAGGGTTCTAAATCACTATTAAAGAAATTAAAGTAACTCTTAAGTGCCACCTCACACCCATGAGATAGGCTTAAATTGACAAAAATAGAAAATAACAAATGCTGTTGAAGCTTTGAGAAAACATGTTCTTTAAGGTGCTGTTGGTTTAGCTGTGAACTGGTCCGCCTATTATTTTCCAAAGCAGTTTGGAACTATGCCCAGAAAGGTATTAAACTATGTATAACCCTTTGACAAATTAGTACCACTACCATTTTCATACCCTAAAGAGATCAAAGAAAGAGGAAAGTGATTTGTATGAACAAAAATATTTATAACTGCTCTTTTTGTGGTGGCAAAGAATTGGAAACTGAGAGGATACCCATCATTTAAGGAATGGCTGAACAAGTTATGTTATATAAATGTGACAGAATACCATTGTGCTGTAAGAAATGAAGCAGATAATTTTAGAAAAACTTAGGAAGACCTATATGAACTGATACAAAGTGAAGTCAGAACTATTTACACAGTAATATCAATATTGTAAGGATAATCAATTTTGAAAGATTTGAGAACTCTGATTGGACAGTGACCAACCATGATTCCAAAGGACTTATGATAAAATATGCTCTCTATCAGATGGAAAATTAGTAGACTCATTATGGAATGGTACTTTTTTCCCTTCTTTTTGGATATGGCTAATGTGGGAGTTTGTTTTGCATGACTATACATATTTGTCATATGCTTTGTTTTTTTTTTTTCGATCTCAGTGAGTGGGGGAATAGAGATTTTGAAATTGAAAATAAAACAAAATTTAATTAAAAAAACAATTAGATAAAGACTAATTAGGAAGAATGTCTTTATCTCTTTCATGATACTTATACCATCTGTTTCTTCACAGGTTTTAATCATATCTTACCATATATTTACGTGATTTATTTCACCATCTTGCTTATCCACCGAGAAGCTCGCGATGAACACCAGTGTAAGAAGAAATATGGTTTGGCATGGGAAAAGTACTGTCAACGTGTGCCATATCGTATATTTCCATACATTTACTAATAAGCTCTTTTGTTTTAGACTTTTAAATGCTTCTGCAGTTCTAGCTTCCTTGCAAACAAAATATACCTCTTTTCTTCCCATTGGGTCTGTAGGTATTTTGTTTTTTGTTTGTTTTGTTTTCTAAAGAAATGCATTATAGAACAGATAGTCATAAATATGTAAGAAATAAGTTTGTCTAGTCAAGTTAGGTTTGTTCACCATTTAGTCACTGAAATTAGCCAGAATTTTCACATAATTTGTTTTAATAAACTTAAGGGCAAATAAAATCAGAGTACAGATATTTGAATTAGCTTTTTAATGGAAATTTTCCCGTTCCTAAGATATGAAAAGCGGACAGTCTTATGGCGAATGCACCAAACAGAAATGAAACATTTGATTTCTGGACTAGGTTCCTAGCTTTTCAGATTTACATTTCTGGTTTGAACAGTTGATCTCATTTTTAAAAAATAGAAATGATTGTGTTTGACTCAGTTTCAGAGTGTGTTTAACAGCTAGTTACATTTTTGTTGCATCAGTTAGGATAGGATTTTCGTTAATTTCAGCTTAAGTGTATTTACTAGTTCCTTGAGTTAAAATTAAAACCTATTCTGTGTTCAGTGCTGGATACCAAGGTATGAGGAAATCGTGATTTAGTAGCAGGCCCTACAGAAAAGAAGAAAAAGTAATAGCTTGCTTACTTACAATTCTAAAATTACTTAAAAATGTAAATACATAGCTTTCTTTATGTATAATATGGTGACTTCATGTTTTTTCCTGTACAGTATTTTGAATGTGAGGTGCAGTTGCTTATTTAGGACCAGGAATATCTTTTAACAAAAAAAAAATTTTCAGTATTTTTTAATTATACTTTTATAAAGTAATGTATTGATATGAAATTAAAGTTTTATAAACAATCTGGGTTCATTTAAATATTGCATTGGAAAATGCTATGAAAATATAGGGATCATAATTTTAATCCAAAGTTTGTTGAATTTGGCTTTGCTACCTCAATTATAGGTTCTCAGTTGCCTTTTATACTATTACAAATAAGTAAAAATAGCTTGGATATATATATTTATATATTTTTGGAATAACATCACTATTTAAACATTTTTTACATGAACCTGTGGTTGAAAACTTGCCATTTCGGACTAATATTTTTGTATATTTTTGACTTTTGTAATTAAACACTGTATTTGCTACTGTTAATTTTTGTGGTTTATACTGTATTTTGTGTATACAATAGCTACAAATTCTACTTCATTGCTGTGATTTTGTTTTTAAAATTGTTATTTTTCACCTTTGGGAATCTCATCTGCAGATGAATTTAGCATGTTCAAAATGTATTTCTTCTTTGATTTTATTAGAAGTGTGTTTTTATGAAACATAAAATCTGCCTTGAAATTTACTTAAATTTATAGGGGTCCATTATTAGCTGTCAATGGTGAAATGGTAGCAAAGTCATAAAATGTGAAAGGATTTCTGTTAAAATAAGAGTTTTATGTTAAAAGTTAAATAGTTCCCAGTGTCTTAAATATATGGCAATGTAACAAAAATCTAGTGTGTATGTTGATGTTTTAAATTTTACATTTTGTATATGAGCCATTTGGATTTGTAGTGTCTTGTACACTGCAATTTGAAGTATATGTAGCATAGCTTGTTTTAATATGATCATGATTTTTTTTTTCCTTTAGCATATTGCAACTTGCAGCTTTTGAATATTTCTTTTGGGAAAAAATGTCAGATGTCACTTCAAAATATTTGTATGGTCACTGATGTATGCAAGTAGTTTCTTTTTATTACAGATACTTTCCTTTCAGTATTAAAAATAGCGTGGTCTATAATATAGACCATATAGTCTATATTATATTCATTAAATGAGCTTGGGGTGGGGGGAGGGATAAATAAGCTATTAAATTAATCTTCCTGGTGGTGAAAACAACCTAACTTTCTTACACAGTGACATGATTTCTGAGTGACGTTAACTTTATCTTGTCTTTCTTTTTTTTCATTTTTTGACACAAATTTGATAAGTAGAGGTTTTTATAATAAAATTCATGTTGAAGTAAAATTCAAAGTAACATTGTATTAACTTGATCACTTCTCATATATCTAGAATGTAGTTCTTTAGTTAGAAGGCACTTTAAGAGATTATTTTATTCCATCCAGATAAGGAAACAAGACCAGAAAATCAAGTATAATATAATGGTGATTTCCATGAGTCATGGAATGCTTTGGGAAAGGAAGTGGACCAAACTTTGGACCTACTGTTGTACAAATCTTTTGGAATAGTATGTTTTTCTCAAGTCTAGGGTCTAAGGGTTTTGGTATTTCTCTTTGTACAGTGTGCTATGTAACTAAGTGCACAATATGCTTTTTGTTGAATGTCTTTTCAGGAAGTACACTGTCTTAGGTATAACAGTACCACTGGACTTTTAATTTTGCTACTGGTTGTTTTGAAGTTTAGATGGACATTTGACAAAAGCTTGTTTTCAGCCTTTACTATCTCCTGACTGGGAGAAGGCACTGCACCTTCTTTCTTTCTCATATATGAAATGTGGAGGGTTTTATCACTTTCCATTTAAAGAAATGTGAGGATTGTAGTGTTTGTTTTAAATATTGCAGTTTGGTATTTGTGGAGTGACTTGTTGCAAAAAAGTTTAAAATATAAATTATTCATGCAAAATGTCCAGTTTTGATGGGACTTCCATATTTAGGGAATTGATGGATGGGTTCTAGGTCTGATCACTTAATGTCTAGATACCTACCTCTGTTATTTTTCTGGTATAAGTACAGGACCCCATATCCTTCCACTCCAATTTGGAACATATGCACATGTATTCAGGCATCCAAATACCACTTTATTCTGAATTTAGGCTTAATGTCTATGTGAAGGACAAGCAGTTTCCTTCATTCAAGATACCTTTAGGCTGCTGCAACTTCTTTTGTGTTAATAAAATTGTGAGCTTAATAGGGGCCTTGTTTTTTTTTTTAAGCACATCCTACATTTCATTTGTATAATATGGAAAAGTTCCCAGTAAAGGGAACAACAGTGTAAATTCAGCAAACACCTATTAAGCCCATGTGCTTATTAAAATTTCCAAGCTCTATTATGCTAAGCACAGACTACATACAAAAGATGAGACAGTTTCTTTTCTGCTGGGGTGTTTGTGAACACAACATGAAAATAGAAAAGTTAAATACAAGGTAATTTGAAGAGGGACAAAATATTAATAAGTGAGGGAACCTCAGTATACAAAACAAAAAAGTTTCATGGTAGAGGAGGAGGTATCTTACCTGAGCTTTCCTTGAAGCTAAGAATTTTGAAAGGCAGAATTAAGGAAATTTCATTTCTAGGTTTGTGCAGTTGCCCAGAGATGGAATGGTGAGTGGACCAACTAGTAGGCCAGTTTAACTGAAGTGGGGAATTTGAGAAAAGGAATGCTGGAAAGGTATTTTGGAACTAGTCCAACAGAGGGCTTTAAACTCTAGGCCAGAGAGTTTGTTATTTAATCTTACAGGTGATGGAAGCTGCTCAAGTTTTTTTGAGTATGGTGGTGATATGATTGTCCCAGGGACCCATTAACTCTGAACCCAGATCACTAGCTTCTTTTCTGTCTTTTCTGTTGGGCCATCTCCGGGACTCTGTATCTTTTTTTCCCTTTTTTTAAAAAATTTATTTTTAGTTTTCAACATTCACCTCCATAAGCTTTTGAGTTTTAAATTTTCTCCCCCTCTTTTTTCACCTCCTTCCCGAAGATGGCATGCAATCTGATATAGGCTCTGCATATACATTCCTATTAAATATATTTTCATGTTTGTCATGTTGTAAAGAAAAATTAGAACCAAATGGAGGAACCACAAGAAAGAACAAAATGAAACAAGAAAAAAAAAGAGCAAATAGTATGCTTTGATCTGCATTCAAACTCCATAGCTCTTTCTCTGGATGTGGATAGCATTTTCCATCATGAAACTTTTGGAGATGTCTTAGATCCTTGTATTGCTAAGAAAAGCTAAGTCTGTCAAAGTTAGTCATCACACAATGTGGCTGTTACTGTGTACAATGTTCTCCTGGTTCTGCTCACCTCACTGAACATCGATCCATACAAGTCTTTTCAGGTTTTTTTGAAGTTCATTTGCTCATAATTTTTTATAGCACAGTAGTATTCCATTATATTCATATACTACAGCTTGTTCAGCCATTCCCCAACTGATGGATACCCCCTCAATTTCCAATTCTTTGCCACCACAAAAAGAGCTGTTATAAGTATTTTTGTACATATGGGTCCTTTTCCTGTTTTTATGATCACTTTAGGATACAAACCTAGAAGTGGTATTGCTGGGTCAAAGGGTATGCACATTTTTATAGCCCTTTGGGCATAATTCCAAATTGCTCTCCAGAATGGTTGAATCAGTTTACAACTCTACCAACAATGTATTCATGTTCCAATTTTCCCACATCTCCAGCATTTATCATTTTCCTGTTTTGTCATGTTGGCCAATCTGATAGGTGTGATGTAGTACCTCAAATTTGTTTTGATTTGCATTTCTCTAATCAATAGTGATTTAGAGCATTTTTATATGATAGCTTTAATTTCTTCATCTGAAAGTTGCCTGTTCATATCCTTTGACCATTTATTAATTAGGGAATGACTTGTATTCTTATGAATTTGACTTAATTCTCTATATATTTTAGAAATGAGGCCCTTATCAGAGAGACTGGTTGTAAAAATTCTTTCCCAGTTTTTTTGCTTCCCTCCTAATCTTGGTTGCATTGGCTTTGTGCAAAAACTTTTCAATTTAATGTAATCAAAATTATGCGTTTTGCATTTCGTAATGTTCTCTATCTCTTGTTTGGTCATAAATTCTCCATAAAACTGACAGGTAAAGTATTCCTCGCTCTCCAGTTTACTTATAGTATCAGTCGTTATATCTAAATCATGTACCCATTTTGACTTTATTTTTGTATATGGTGGAAGATTTTGATCTATGCCTCGTTTCTGCTCTATCCTTTTCCAGTTTTCCTAGTGTCAGACAGTGAGTTCTTATCCCAGAAGCTGGAGTCTTTGGGTTTATCAGACAGTCGATTACTATAGTCATTGACTACTGTGTCTTGCATACTTAAACCTATTCCGCTGATCCACCACTCTATTTCTTAGCCAGTACCAAGCAGTTTTGATGATTGCTGTTTTATAATACAATTTAAGGTCTGGAATGGCTAGGCCACCTTCCCTAGCATTTCTTTTCATTAGTCGCCTTGATATTCTGGGTCTTTTGTTCTTGCTGTGGATCATTTCTACCTAAACGTCTCATATAATGCCTTTCTTTCCACTCACACAGCAGTAGCCCTGCTGGTGGGTCTGCCTACCTCAGATCTCTCCCCACTCTAATCCATTCTCTATCTTCAACCACTAATGTGATTTTCCTAAAATACAGGTCTGATTATATCTCTCATTCTCTCTCTCTCTCTCTCTCTCTCTCTCTCTCTCTCTCTCTCTCTCTCTCTCTCTCTCTCTCTCTCTCTCTCTCTCTCTCTCCCTCTCCCCCCCTCTCCCCCTCTCTCCCCCCCTCTCTCCCCCCTCCCCTGGCTTCCTAAATACAGGATGCTGTGTCTGGCATTCAAAGTCGTTCAAAACCTAGCCCTTCCTTACCTTTCCGATCCAGTCCACTTTGCTCCTGGACAGATACTCTTCAGTCCATGAATGAGATACTTCACCTCTCAACTCCACGCATTTTCTTTGGCTGTCACCTATGCCTGGAATGTTCTCCCTTCCTCTGCTCTGACTACAGACCCCCTCCCCCCCAGCTTCCTTTAAATTCCAGCTAAAAATCTCATCTTTTACTGGAAGCCCATCCTTTACATAGCTTGCTTTGTATATTTTTGTTTGCATGTTGTCTCCTCCGTTAGATTATAAGCTCTTTAAGGGCAGGGACTGTCTTTTGCCTCTCTTTGTATGCCTAGGCCTACCATAGTGTCTGGTATATAGTAGGTGCTTAATAAATATTTACTGATGGCTAATTCTTGGAGACTCTTGGTCTGCCATATAATATGGACACTACAGAGCTATTTTTGAAGTTTTAGGAAAACATGGACAAATGAAGTCTGGCACTGATGATTGGGTCATCAGTGCCAGAATGCCTTTCAAAAATGGCTCTGTGGGGTGCTCTTCCTTACTCTGTTTACAATTATTAAGCTTTCATCAGTCCATTAATTTCGTGTTAGGCTCAGACAAAATTTTGACCTTGCCCAGGATTAGTATTTGGCCACTTTAACTCATTTTTTTAGCTTTTGCCTAACTTCTTTGGGCAATACCATGCATAAAAGCTGATTTGTATCTACCCAAGAAGGATTATAGCAATTCGTTACAATAGTTAATTTTCCCCTAAATTTCTTGGAGCTTCTCTAATATTAGGGAATTCATTAACCAAATTGTGAAGGTCACTGGAACCCAAGGAGCATGAACTGTAATCGAGCTCCAGTCCACTCTAGGAAGTTATCAAGCCATAGCTGTAAAACTATTCCCAATAGTTGATTATCAGGCAGCAGATCTTTGTGATTCCTAGTGTGGCCAACAGAAAAAGGCCTGAGGAGAGAGGAGTAAGGAAAGGTGCTATTCCTAAAGATGCAGGGAGGTACGAAAAAAGAAATCCCCAAACTTATGGGATGTAACCAAAGCAGTTCTCAGGGAGAAAAAATGTCTATTTTTAAATGCTTTCATCAAGAAGAGAGGAAGAAGAGATCAATAGCCACTGAAAAAATTTATAAAGGCAATAATTAAAAACAGCACCAAAATAGAAATTCTGAAGATTGAAGATGAGATTAGCAAAATTAAAGCAAAAAGCCCACTTATAAACAAAAGTAACTATTTTGGGGAGAAAACTTAAGTAAACTGAGAGGTAATCTGATTTTTAGAGAGTAAAACAAAATCTCCCATGTAAAAGATTAAATAAAGAATTTATGTCAAATAAAATTAGTACAAACTTGCCGAATCACATCCCAATGAAAGTGACAAATGGATAGATGTATAAAAATGAATACTCAGGTTATCAGAACAAGAAATAGAAAATAACCCAATCTTAGATAAAGAAATCAAACTATAAGCAAAAGCAAAAATAAAAAAAAATGACCACATGGATTTAGAAGTCAATTCTATGAAACATTCAAGGAAGAATGCCAATATTACGTAATCTCTTTGTAAAAATAGGAAAATTCTTTCTATGGAACAAATATGGTCTTGATAACTAAGCCAAGGAGAGACAAAACAGGGAAAGAAAAATGGTAGACAAATGTCTTTAATGAATATCAACTCAAAAATGTTGACTAAAATATCAAAGAGGCTATAGCAACACATGGAAAAATTATACATTGTGACCAGGTTAGATTTTTGTCAGGAATATAGAAGGGCTCAATATTAGACAAACTATGCACATGAGTCTGTGTTAGTAACAAAATGATTTCGTTAGTGAGTGCAGAAAAAAAGAGTTGACAAAACATAGCATGCTTTTATAGGGAACCCCCCCCCACTAATAAGCATAGTAATAAATGGACCATTTCTTAATAGTATTAATAGTAGTTATTTAAAAATAAACAGCATTATCCATCAGAGAAAAACACTAGAAACCTTTCCAATAAAATAAGGTGTAAAATAAGATTGTCCGTTATCATCACTTGTATTTGAAT